GATATCGGTCTGGGGCAGTTGTTGACTGAAATGCACAGCTTGATAAGGAACTCTGCTCATTTCAAGAGCAATGATTGCTTTGTCTGGCTCTTTCTCTTCAGACTGAAATATTAGACTCTGTGGTAGTTCTTCTATTTTGAATCATGGATATTGGGGATTGACTGATAGTGAGAATAATATTGTGAAGAATTACCTAAGCATTATTGCTCTCAGAAAAAGTGTTTTGTTTTTCTGTTTTATTGATCTATTTCCTGTTGTTTTCATATGAGCTCGTCAGCATGTCTAGGAAGATTCTGTTTCATAGTTTGGGATGGCCTGGATGGATATTTTGTTTTGATTAGGCCTTTTTTGTTTGCACTTGATTCATTTAACATATTCTTGTTGCACGAACATTACAAGAGCTGCTCGTTTCATCATGTTATCAGACATTTTATTGATCACACAAGGTGAAACTAGAGCTGTTTGAAAACTGCCAATTGCTTTTTTTGTGTAGGAAATCTTGAAAAAATATTGTTTTTCCTGAGAGAAATCTCTGTTTAAATGACATAAATATTTTGGTTTCAAAAACCCTGAAAATTAAAAATATGTTGGGACTTCAATGAAAAACCAGAAAATTCTGACCAAATTTAAAAGTTTTCATGAAAAAAACATCATTTTTGGTTCACAAGACATTTTTCATTAATTTTTATTTATTTATTTATTTTTAATCAAACGCTTTCCACCATTTCTAGGTGAAACTCACCCTTGTGCAGCTTTCAGTTTAGGATTGAAGTGGACTGTAAGTGGTGCATAGGCCTTGTTTCACCCATGGCAACATACCAAAGGGACAAAGAAGGTGGTCAGTCATTAGTTCTGTCTTCCACAGTTCCCGTACCATATCTACATCTGTTTATACAGTATACTGTAACCAACCATATTGGCTTATATTTGTATGTATATCGAGGATAGTCAATAGGCAGACCATGAGCCAAATCCGGACCGCCAGATGCTTTTGAACGGACCCCAAAATCTTTTTATTTGAGTATTATTATTATTAATTATATCTATCGTTATTGTTGCCAGGTTTTTTATTTGGAGTCTGTACCTTGACCAAGAAATTTGGACCTTGACAAAAAATAATTGACTATCCCTGGTCTAGACTATCTGATCCCAAACACACCATATTTATAAAGAGTCAAGTTAGGAAAGAGAATTTCTCCTCCAGAGAGACAGGATGATAATAAAAATAGCCACATTGTGGAAAGGGTTAAATAAGGCCGTTTCCTAACTCGTGCCCGGAACTAGGGATAACAGATGTACCAGCGTGATCTAAATTACGGATGGAAGTGAAGTTAACCATAACTGCCTTGTTTAACTTGTCCATTTATGGCCTACTATTCTGTCCCTTTGGCTCTGCCCCTGGCTTTCATCATGTAACAAGACACACTTACAAATCTTGGATCTGCCAGAAAAACAATGTCTGGCAAACTCTTTAAAAAGATGGGTATTTTGTCATTTTAAAATCCACGAAAGAATAACTTTTTAAAATAAATTAAATCAGTTGTTTCACATCTGACATGGCTGGGGTCTGCTATCTGAAAAATAGTTTAGAAGAAGGCTTTCTTGTGTTTTTTGCCTTCAGCAAAGACTTATAACCCAGTTAAAACAATTCTGAACAGGCAGATCAGGATTGCTTTTGAAGTTCAATCTGAGTTAGAAAATTATTGATGTTAACTTTCCCAATCTCTTTATGAGGAAATATAAAACATATATTTAATAAAAGCTCATTAATGCTGCTGCTGGCAGAGGGCATGACTGAAGAGAAGCGCTCCCCCTCCTCAACCCCCTCTCCCCCACCCCGCTTGGTTTATTAAGAAGTGGGAGAGGGAGGCTGTGAAGAAATGTACTGGAGCATAAAGATAGACTCTGGAGTCTCCCTGAGAAACAGCTGCAGTATGGATGGCTGGATTGCTGACGATGTTTTCATCTGATGATAAGTTTCTGAGGCAGCATTCATGATAGAGGGCATTTATTTTGCTGCAACAAGTAACTGTTCTTGTTTGCTTTCTCAGATCAGAGTTATATTTTTTCAAAACAAAAGCCTAGAACCTTTGAGAGTAAAATAGTTTTCAGGTTTATTCATGTCCTATGGTGGGTGGGAGGCAGGTGGGGAATGCTACTGTTTCTATTTTATATCCTTTAGATTTTCTATAATATCCATTTGTGATTGTAAACATATTTTAACTACTAAGATGTGTTTGCAAGGAGCAATATACATAATACATTTGAGATATTCAGTTAATCAAGGATGTAATGGTATTGTTCTCTTCTTACCTCAACTACTTGCCCTGAGGGCCCTGGCCAGTTTTGCTCCTGGTGGCTGCTTGAGTGATATTGCTGCAGTTGAAATCACCTTAGGTGCTTGGGCCCAGATCCACAAATGTGCTTAGGCATCTAAGTACACCACTTGGCTGCTGTCTAATCCTGTGGGTGCCTAAACTCATTGAGCACCTACATTTTCATTCTAAAAGTTCCTAGGTGCCTAAATTTCTGCCTCTAGGCACGCACAGTGGACATGTGCCTTCTAGGAGCCTGGCCATCTATCTCCCGCATATGCCCTTGCACAATCCACAAACGGGAGAGATGCACCTTCCCCTGCCTATCTTGCCTGCAGGGCCCGATCCAGTAGGTATGCACAGAGGCTGCCTACTGGCTTGTGTCCCATTGAAAATCTGGACAAAGGAGGAAGAAATGGTGCCCACCTTATAACTTGTAGCCCAATAATTAGAGAACTCACCTGGGCTGGGGATGACCTGAACTCAGTTCTCCTCTTTGCCTAGTGTGGGGGTGGGGGCTGTGAGCAGGGGCTGTCCCATCTCTCAGAAGAGTGTTGTAACCTGTGAGCTATGGGATATTCTGATATGGAGCTCAGAGCTCTGTTCTGATGAGAGGGGCAAAGGAAAGTTTGGGCAGACTGGGATATGGGCTGGGATGCAGGGAAGAATTTTATTTTCATATGCTTTGGGGAATTACTTCATTTTTCTTGAAGTTATTTTTTATATTTAGCTACGTAATGATTGATTCAAAGGCAGCTATAGTCTCGGGTGCTTTTTTTTAATAGGTGGAAATAAAAGTAAATATAAAAAAAATGCATTCATCAGGATAAATGGGCCCCTTGCATGCAGGCACCCATTTAAAAGTGTCTGAATGCCTAAGCAAATACAAGTTTGGCCTTGCAAATAGTGGATTTTGCAAATGGGTGTGCTTGCAATTTTGGAGGCACCTTTCAAAATCTTCACTAAACTCAAATCAAATCTCTTCTGAAATCGTAAAACGCTCAGCTAAGTGTGCTTTCATTTCATCTTTCTGTACAGAACTGGAAGTGCCAGAAATCTTACAAGAAAGCCTGCACTCATAACGCTTCCCGTGAAATTTCACAAATTCAGGAGCTTTGGATAAGCTGTATACTGTTTATCTCTTCCAGTTTCTACTGATATATAACTAACTTCTATCTAATACTCCTGATATCTTTGTCACAAATTAAAAAACTTGCCTAAGGTCACAGCATCTGTGTCAGAGGCCAAAATATAACTCAGATCTCCAGTTTCCCAGGTCTGTGCTTTAACCACTAGATCAGTGGTGGGCAACCTGCAGCCCAGGGGCTTATGTGGCCTGCCAGGGTAATCTGCTGGTGGGCCGCGAGACAGTTTGTTTACATCAACGTTCCACAGACACAGCCACTGGTGGCTCCCAGTGGCCACGGTTCGCCGTTCCTGGCCAATGGGAGCTGTGGGAAGGAGTCTAGTGCAGGTATCTACCACTGCACTAGATCATACAGACCCCTTAAATTAAAAGAAAAATGTTCCTTCATAATTTATATATATCCGAAATTGCCAATGGTGCATATGGCATTCATATATCGAATAGAATAAACTGTGTTACAAAGGAATCTCAAGTCTATTCTTTTTTAAGGACATAGAGTACCTTAATATTAAATTACATGAAGTGTCCTGGAATGTTCTAGCAAACCTCTTTAACATATATATTCATATACCTTAAATACGAAGACATGTTCACAGAAACCTTGTTTAGTTAAGTTACTTTTTATTGTCTTCAGTAGATAATGTGTGAGTCAAATGGCTTTGAATCCAGGGAAGGCATTACTTTGACTAGGGCTTTATTGAAATTAAATTTAGAGTTTGAATCAATGCCCAGGAATGTCGTCAGATATAACAGATTCAATTTGTTAGTCTCCACTTTAAATGTGTTTTTAAAAACAAAGCAGATAATTCTTCCAAGCCTTCAGATTTCTAATGCTTTCAGCCTTTGCTTAGGCTGAATGAACTGTTATACTTTGGGTTATTGTACATTAAATCCACCCTGTTGTGTCTGTCATATGATTACACATGAATATGATGCATAATCCGGATATAATTTGTAGATCTTAATCTATGTCCTTTGTTACTATCATAGCTGTCTTTTTTATATATATATTTTGGAGGGGTGATGGTAAAGGCAGGGGTATTGGAACAATTTTTATAGTGGGGGTGTTGGGAGCCATTGACCCAAACTTTAAACCCTGTATATGATAGAAACCACTTCAAGCCCTGGGGTGCGGCAGTACCCCCAGCACCTTTAGTTCCAGCACCTATGGGTAAAGGGGAGGACAGGGAGCATAGTTGCTATTGCACTTCAATAAATACTGTGACTCTTCAAAAAGCCAAAGACAGCACAGGAATCTCTAAATGCTGACGTATGAAGATATTGTTTCCCATCACACAATAGACAAGGGTTCATCTAGTTCAGTCTCCTGTAGTGGCCCGTATCACACATACCTGGCCGGTTCCGTTTTGCTATAACAAGGGATTTAAGCTCTAAAGCTTGAGACTTACTAGTTCTTTTTACTGTTTCCCTATCTAATGTAATAGCAGATGCCATTATTTTGTATAACATCTTTTAAAGCTCTTACTAAGCTAATTACCTCACTTCTATATTGCAGCAATGAGTTCCACAGTTAATGCGTGTTATAAACCCTGATGCTGAACTGGAGATTACATGAAGCTTCATTGATTTCAAGGACCAGGTAATTTTTTAAGAACCTTAAGTAGGTGACATTTGTAAATAAGAAGTTCCAACACATCATGGAATTTTTTGCTTGCTTTAGACTTAATCGTTTTAGAGAGCATGAAGGTAATAATAATGGGCCAGTGTGGTGCAGCAGCTTGGCACCAGTGTTAGAGGCATACAGGCTGCCACACCCCTCCTGGCTGGTGCAGTGGGTGTGGACAGAGGAAAGGAATCAGGATTTTTTGCACTGTATTTATCCCTTTGTTCTCACCATAGGGACATTCGCTCACAAGGGGCCAATGGCACAAAAGGCCTCAAATCAGAAACTGCAAAGGCCACTTTCTCCCCTGTGCATCCTTCTCCCACTGCTCTCCAGGGCTCAACCCCCATGATCTGACCCATTGCCTCTTGAACCATCTGTGCTACTTATCGGTGCTAAAAAAGATATTAAGAAAAAGGTTCCTGCTGAGATTAATCTTTTCTCATCTCTGAAGTGACTCATAAAGACTGCTTTGCTTTCTTATTATTTAAAAAAATGAAAGTTATGTTGTTCTTGTTTTTGAAGCCAGATATAATATGCCTCCTTTCTGTCATGTTCCACATGTTTATATTCTTCTGTTTCTCAGTCTTGTGACCTTGTGTAGCACTAGCCAGTGCACTGGGAAAAACTGTTTGTTTCTCCATGGTTTTTGTTTGATTCTCTTTTCTTTCAATCTTGGATTCTGTTTTCTGGGCTTTGGCAAAAGCCTCTTGCCAACTCCCAGAAAAGCAAGTCAGGCATCAAATCCTTTCTACAACGTAAAGCATCTTTCTGCATTTTTACACTAATTGGGTGCAGTCTAAAATGCAATAGAAGTTTTAAAGTACTAGCCATTTATTCCTATTCCTATCCCCTCTACTCTTCTTTGAGCATCCCTCCAGAAGAAAAAGAGAACACACGTTACCTTTGCTAATTTCAAGAACTTTCTTTTGCAGTCATCCCATCTTGCTATAAAAGCTCCATCCCTCTTCAAAGCACTCTGATGGCAGTATGAAAGGAAAGCTGCGGATGATAGGGGAGTAGGCTGTATTCACAAAGATGCTATTACAAGTTATCAACACCTTGGGCGAAACTCATCTTGTATAGTGTGCCTGCATGAGGCCTCGGCACTACCAAACTACTTAAAATAGAAGTGAAGTGCTGCAAAGGCCTTCTGCTAGCCACCTGCACAGGGATGATTGTCTCCTTTTTTATTTATTTTCTGCTGCATCCCAAGTTTTGCTTCAAATATTGGCCGGGGTTGCACAATGGAGTAGGGTGAAGCAGGGTCCGCAGAGTATTGTTTTCTCCACTGGACAGGCAGGTGGAAGAGGGTAGGATGAAACGTCACCCTCCTCCCCCTTCAATGTGCCAGCCAGTATAACTACATGGCCACACTAATGGAAGGACGCAGCACCGAGTATAGACTTGGCTCAGGTACTTCCTTCCTGGAGCAGCTAGGAGACTGGGAAGCAGCTTGTGACTTTCTGAGTTGGTCTCTCTCCTGCGCTGCTCCAGGGACGATGCAGTAAGGTGCGAACGCTTATGCTGGGTAGATTGTAATGATCTAGCTGGAGAAAGGAGAAGTTTGCACTTGTCAATGGTAACCTTTTAGATTTCTCAAATTTAAAAAAATCGCCAAATTCACCAGTTTTGTTTCACACGGGAAAGTGTAGCGTTCTTTAATTACTTTCACTGAGACACTGATATCTTCATCAGGTGCTGTTTAAATATTTTCCTGAATGTGTTTAGCATTTTTCAAATAATAAATGCATCTTCCTCTATTAAGCAAAAACTTCTTTTGATAACTCCTGTTTTGTTTGAATAAAACTAGAAAAGTATATTGTTTTCTGAATTTCTCCGCAGCATATGTCAGTAATTCAGAAAAATGTGATTCTTTACGCTCCATAATGACCCATTAGAAGTTCAGCTACAATACTGTATTGTGAAGTTGAAATCATAATTGATTTTTGTACTGCTAATTTCATAGCCTTCTATATGCCTTTGAGATAAGAATATGGGAGGACTGGGAATTGGATTTGACAATACAGTTTGACTCACGCAGTTTAGTTTCCGTAAAGGTTTGTTGGAAAGCAAAGTGAACTTGTGTGCAAAGATGTGTGGTGTATTATATAGAAACCTGAAAAAAACTGAATTCTAAGAACATGTTGCGCAGTGGGTATCAATTTGTCTAGCTAAAAAATGAATATGCAAGTGTTATCACTATAGACAAAGTTTACGTACTCATTAAAAATGTGTACACATCAGAATGGTTTGCATATGGTGGACTATTCCATAAATGGCTTTATTTAGTGAACAAAAGGGAATCTCAACTACAGTATCTTAGTAGTTGTAGTAATTCTTTGTCAGGTGCCTTTACTAAAATCGTAGGAACCATGATCATTGAAAGCATAGATGACTTGGGAACCGTAGAAAGTCTTGTAGCCCAGTTAATAAATGTATCACAAAGACATAACAGTTGGAAAGGACCAGTCGCTGTTTGTTGATATCTTATAGTTAATATTTATAAAAAGTGAGGGTAAAGGAGACGTATTTCCTTGGGGTGATATCCTAACCACTCTGAAGTCAATAAGAGTTTTGCCAGTGACTTCAATGGGGCCAGGAATAATTGTTGTTGTATATTTTTAAACAAACTGTTTGCTTTCTGTGCAGTTTATAGATGTTAATCTGTATGTGAGGAAAAAGTTAACAGGTTGGATAATATATGTAGAAAAAGTACTTGTGATCATTTCCCCATAAACGTTTACTAGGTCTTTTGTAGTCACCATGGATCTGATTGTTTCTGTTCCTATGCTGATTAAAATAATCTATACACTTTTTGTATACAAAATAATGAATGGCAATGACAACAATTTGGGAATCTCTGTACAATTTATGTATTCTGTGTGAGGTTATGAATTCTGTGTCTTTACCAAGATGCAAACACCATTTGAATGTGCAGCCTTTTGCCTTCTCTGTGGTCTGTTTACTTCCATGTTGTCCTGAAATTCCAAAGGCTGGTGGCAAAAGAATAACAAAAGAGGGCTGTTGATATAAAATGCTCAACCACTGAAATGTAACACTCTAAACTGGCTCCCAACTAGCAAAATTGATTTAGCAGAGGAGAAGTCACCTTGGCAACAAAATCACCTGGCAGGGGTTTCTGATCATGTGGAGAGGCTGGAAGGACAATACCTGACAAAGGGAACTAAAGGTATAAATAGGGAGGAATTGACCTATCTGGGATCTTTGACCATTTTACCTCCAGCTGTGGAGGAGAGAGAAGCAATTCAGTATGTACAGGCTGCATGAGGCAGGAAGCCCTGCTTGCCTTCCTGAGCCCAGATGATCCCCAACGGAGGGTGATCTAGAAAGGGGCACTGCTTTTAGGATGTTTGTTGTTTTCTAATTGATCTGTACTTTCTTGTGCTTTATATGATTAACTAAAAGAGCAGTGATACTTCTGATTCTGTGCAAAGTATCTCTGTATGTTAAATGGTTCACAATCTACTGTTTGCCTCTGGAGAGAGTTAAACAGTGAACTGGAAGTGTCACATCTTTGGGATGGAGTTCTGGGAAAGGGTACGTGTAAGTGTGGGGAAATCTAAAGTGCTGAGCCTAGAAGGCATAGGTATCTGGACAGTGAGTTCCAGTTCTCAGAAGGCAGTGTTAGACCCTGGGTCCACACTCAGAGAGTGTGCCTACAGACAGACCTGTCACTGGGTAGCTGGTTCCCGTGAGTAGACTGGGCCCAGCTCCCCTGTATCACAGCAGGTGAGCTGAATCCAGCCAATTAAAAGGGGCTGGGCTACACCTGCACCTATTCAGGGCTCTAGAGGCCAGGCAAAGAGGAGAGTGGTTGGGACAGGCTGCACCTGGGAAAGAAGCTATTGTGGAGAGGAGCTAACGCTCTAAGGACTCACCACAAGAAAGTGGCCAGGTGCTCAAGGAGGCAACTCTGGGGCTATTGCTCTAGGAAGGGAGCCAAGTGACTAGAACTGGGAAGCTGCCATTAGCAGACTCCTGGGAGGTATGTCCCTGAAACCTGCAATCAAAGAGCAGGCCATTTATTTAGGTAATTCAGAGCTCAATTTCTAGATTTTCAGAGTTGTTCAGTTAAGTATCTAAACTTCTGGAAGCTTATTCGGACTGAACATTTGGAGGTTTTTGCATCACCAGTAAGCAATGGAATAACTAGATATAATCAAGGCCTAATGAAAAGGTGTTTTGTTCTTTTATATAAATCAGTAAGATCAAATAAATACACTGGTACAAATCCTCCAGTGCAGTTCAACTACTTGGTGACTCTTCACTTTGTGTCCTAAACCCACATAACCAGCAATGAGAGGACCACCCCAATGATTCCTTAGTGGCATAGGCTCAGCATAGCAATTCATATGTCACTCTCCTCATGGCTGCTAGTGTAAGAAGCATCATACATACTAAAAAGAAAAATACCTTTTCCTGAAAAACTATCATGAGTAAAGGTGTAGGGCTTAAATGTCTTGATTTTGGAGACTGCTCTGGTTCTAAATGAACTGACTATGGCATGTCCGTCTATATGCTATGAGCCAGTAATGATAGTAAGGTCCTCCCTGGACAAAGGTGACCAAACTCTTCAATAGGGGAGGCAAACACCCTCTTTCCGCAACCTACGGCTTTTAACTAAATTTGGCTTCAGCCAGCTTGCTCCCAACCAAGTCCCTATCTTGGCTAGCAGCTCGCTGCACAATCTGGATTTGATGAAGGAGTGAGTGCTCTCTCATTTCACTGTCTACCCCAACACCTTCATATATACTTTCAATAGTAGGGCGTACAGAATATATCCTTGTGGATCTTCACATGAGGGAAATCCCACAAGGAAGAAACTATCCTCTGTGTTCCCAATCCTATTCCTTTGACCTCAATGGGAACAGGATAACACCCTTAGAAAGAAAAGACTAGAACCACCTGAGTAACATTGTCTGTTCTAGGCAGGATCCAGAGACACAGATCGA